TGTCTTTTGTGATAAAACTTCACACATAAGGATTGTGCAGGTGGTAAAGTGGGGACAATATCAGTGTTGTTGGAGTGGGCCATCGGCCCATCGACTTGAAAAAGTGGGGACAATATCGGTGTTGTTAGAGTGGGCCCTTGACCCGTCGACTTGAAAAATTCTACACTTTTCCAAAATTCAAATTATATGAAAGTTTATCATGAGATGATCTGAACTTGAGTGTAAAAATACATTTCTTCGTTAACTAAGTCTGAAATTCCTAAGGATTGTGCAGGTGGTAAAGTGGGGACAATATTAGTGTTGTTAGAGTGGGCCCTTGACCCGTCGACCTGAAAAATTCTACACTTTGCCAAAATTCAAATTCTATGAAAGTTTATCATGAGATGATCTGAACTTGAGTGTAAAAATACATTTCTTCGTTAACTAAGTCAGAAATTCAAGTTCTAAGAAAGTTTATCATGAGAGGATCCGAACATGGGTGTGAAAATACATTTCCTCGATTAACTGATCTGACTTGTTTTTTATTTGCTCTTACCTTATTATGAAAAGTGAAGAAAGTTGAGATTTCACCATAAAATTAATTTGATATGGAGAGTAGTACAACTCTTTATAAGCCCTTGTAAGGTTTTGGAAAATTATGTTAACATAACTTTTGTCTCTGTACAACCTTCAATTTTGTTCCAAGTAAAATAACGTGAGAGCTACTAGACCCTCCCTAATGTCCTATTTCCCACCCGCATTATAATCCCACTACCATTAAAAGTTTAAAAAATGAAATGTTATTTCTCCACCCACTATTATTCATTAAAAATTGAAATGCTAGTTTAACGAAGTCTCCTTTGATGATAATCTACCAACAAATGAATGATTGTCCATTGTTGTATGATTATGCACTCTAATAACTATCATCAGTATCCAATCATCATCAGTTGTTAGCTTCTTACCCTTGAATTGGAAGGGGCATCCACACTCTCTTGTTCCAAACTTCCTTCCATCATCAAGCTTTATGTTTTTTTTTTTTTGCGAATTCAGCTTACATATTATTAGTTCCTTTCATAATCCAATTTAAGTTTAGGGCTCATGTTACCTTTTCGCGCCATCCTTTTATTATATAACTTTTAAGGTCCTTATCGGTCATTTTATAAATGGACAAATTTGTAATTAAAAATTTCATTAAAAAGTGGGTAGGAAGATATATATAACACTGACGTGCGAATAACAATACTCAATAACACTTGTATCCATATGTATATTTACTATAAAGGACTTATACTAGACTCTTTAACAAAATCTTAATTTCTTGTACACCCAAATTGAATTTCCACTAGAGTTTAGATACAATAAAACATGTTCATCAAGTACGCATTCTCACACCTTTAATTACCTCTCTCTCTCTCTCTCTCTCTCTCTCTCTCTCTCTCTCTCTCTCTCTCTCTCTCTTTCTCTCCAACGTTCATGAACAAACACAACTGAATAAGAAATCGGCATCAACGATGACTATGAAGACAAAAAGGCAAGTGTTTCGTGTGTTTTTACAAATTTTGACTTGATTCGTCAATTAACACGCTACTTTACCCAAACTTCATAAAATTTGATCACAAATTCAATGAGGATGTCGACTCGACAACATAACTTCTAAAGCAACTTGCGAGTGCATCTATTTGATTGCAACCTTGGACCCAAGTTTGCCAGGTGTTAGAAAAGTTAAAAATTCACTACCAAAAGAAGGCTGATATGTGCCTATTTATTATTGGATTCCAACCGTTCATAGGAAATAAGTATTTATATTTTATACGTACATATTTTCATTCTTCAGAGCCTACTCTTGCTGGAGTTGTGGCTAGGTCAGATTCCATAACCTCTGCTAATCTCCGAAAGTAAAAGGTGAAGAAAAAGTTGGAAATGCGCGTAATTGTTTGAGTAAAAAGTGAAAGCAAGTCAGATGCAATATGTTTTACTATACCTGATCCTCTAGATAATAGGTTGTACAGAAAAACAATTTGATTAAGTAAAAGGGTAATTTTGGAAAATTAGAAGTTGTTTTGGGTGTCCAGAGAAAAGCGATAAAAAAAAGTTGGGTGTATGAAAAAATGTGTGTCACAAGACAAAATTTGGTGTAAACAGAATTTTTTTTCCAAGGTTTCTTCTTTCACAGATTTACATTTTCAAACCCCTCCTTATTGCACGTATTGCTGTTGGGTTTTAGTTGTGGGCCACCCGCTCTATTACCTTAAGGGGGTGTTTGTTTTCCCTCACTAAAGTTCACTGGACTGGATTGGATTAAGGGTTAGTCCAGTCCCGTGTTTGTTTCCCATAGGGCTTAGAGTTAATGAGACTAGCTCTCACTCGTCCCGACTAAAACAGGGCCTAGCCGGTCTTTGCTAAGCTCCCCAAAAACCATGGGATTGCTAATCCCGTCTCCAGAACTTGCATAGGACGATCGCATGCAGCAAGTCTTGTGAACTACAAATCTGCAAGAATGCTTCTGGGCGACTCCGTTTGCCAACCCATGTCTAGATCTAAAACACAGCCTTACCCACTGCCTAAATCTCAACACCAAAATTCAAAAACACATATGCAAAACGATAACAACAACAATCCCAATAGCAAATTCTTCCTTATTCCCGAATATTCCCAGAAAATTTCCAAATTTTTTTCCTTTGCCCCAGAAAATTTCGGGAAGAATGGATAGAGAAGGGGAGAGAGTAGCTTTGGGACAAAGAGAAATTGAGAGACAGAGAGGGAGGGAAGAGTAGCACGGGGGACGATTTGCAAGAAAAATGATTTGAAGGATGTTGTCTTGCAGGAAAAAAGACAGAGAAAAGAAGTGATGGGGGACGAAACAAGAGGAAGAAAAGGGAAGAACTCTCCAGAGAGAGCAGTGGAGTGTCTGGCTGTGGACGAAACAAGAGGAAGAAAAGTGATGTGTATTATAAAATATTATTGAATTAATAATAAAATATTATTAGATGTGTATTATATAATATAATATTATAGTTATTAATTATCCTGTTTTTTAGTCCGACACTGCACCAAACGCTTCACTAAACTAGTCCAGCTTAGTCTAGTCTAAGCCAGTCCAGCTTAGGCCCTGAATCTAGTCCAGTCCGAGACAGTCCGGTGCAACAAACGCACCCTAAAGGAAGTTATAGTTCCACTTAATATCAATTCCCAATAGGAAGAGTATCTCAATTTTTAAGAGTATGGGATGTCAAATGTTAATTTGATAGCTGATATGGTAGTGTCAGATTTTCTCTTCCTCCAATCAATCTAATTTTTTATAATAATATTTGTGGGATCCATTTAAAAAAAATTAATTAAAATAATAATTTATAATTTATAATTAGTGCATTAAAGGATCCACACATGACACAACACAAAAATTACAAAAAAAATAATTGATAACACTTTTTCTCATATTGGAGCTTCTTCCAACCTTCAAATTTGATTGCATGATATTTCATTTAAGAAATGACATCTCTTTTGAAAATACTCTTATAAGCAGTGGCGAAGCTACAGAGGGACTGGGAGGGGCGGCCGCCCCTCCCCTCTCCGGAAATTAAGCCCAAGAGCGTGGTTCCGCCCCTCTGGTGCCGTCGGAATTAATGGATGCACCTGCACTGCAGATCGGTTTCTGGGCTTGAGTTTCTACTGCTGTTGTGCAGCAGCTTATGTTATTCTTTTTTTTCAAATCTCTTAAATGAAACGGTTCGTTTCATTTTGTATTAAAAAAAACAAAACCTCCTTAATCAAACGATTCCGTTTCGTTTAATTGATTAAAAAATAAATAAAAGTTTTAAAGGGGACCACTGTCCCGTGCCTTCCATTATTCAAATCACTTCTCACCTTTTGAAAGCCAATCCTTTTGTTAAAACCAATCAGAAGGCCCGTGTGTGCCCCCCCAAATCCCAGCAACAGTTTTCAGCGCCCTCCTCCCTCCGTTCCGTTCTGTTGTCCCATATTTCTCCTTCAAGCCAAGCCAGCCGCCACTGCCTGCCAGCCTCTAGCAGCCAACTGTTGGTTGGTTTTCCACTTCTCTCTCAATCTTAGGTAAATTTTTTAACTTTCTAATTTGTATTATCCCTAACCCTAATTGATTCATTAATACGAAATTTTAGTTAATTAATATAGAATCATAGAGTAATACACTAATTAATTATTGATTTTTGCGTATAAATATGAATCCTATGAATGATTATTGATGAATGAAAATTATGAAAATATTGTCTAGACTAAAAATTGAATTCTTGATTATTGATTAATTGATTATTGATATTAATTTATGAATTGAATTTTTGTGTATTAAATAATTTATATGAATATTGGTATTGATTAATTGAATTGTTGGTTTAATTAGTTAGTACTCATATTGACTATAGTATAGTTTACTCTAAGATTAAGAGTCTAAAACTTTTTTCTTTTCTTTTCCATATACAGTTACATAATGGAACGATACTATAAGAAACAGTGCTTAAATCCTCCTTCAAATATTCCGACTAGTCCTTCTTCGAATATTCCGAGTAGTCCTCCTTCGAATATTCCAAATATTTCTTCTTCTAGTATTCTGGGTAGTTTCCAACAAAATGAGGTCACTGAGTTGGATGAAATACTGGCTAATCTTCCTGCAGACCCTGGACATAGACGTCGAATGCTTGATTATCCACCTAATTATCGTGAAGCAATTCGTCGCCACTATCTCCAAAATAATCCTTGTCAGCCTAAAGACCACATCATGCCCAGAAAAGTTAGCAACAATCGATGTTTTGTCACTCGTTGGTTTGATAATTTTAAGTGGTTGGTATAGTATAGTAAAAGATGCTGCATTTTGCCGTTATTGTTATCTATTCAAGTGTGATTTTGATAAAGAGGGAAATGCCGGAAGTGATGTCTTCACTGAGATTGGGTTTACAAATTGGAGGAAAGGACTCGAACACTTTCGAGATCATGAGGGAGGTGTTGGAAGTCTTCATAATAAAGCTTTACAACAAGCTAGAGATTTGATGACGCAAAAGCAACATATTGAAACATTTGTGATTAAGCAAACCGATGAAGCTCGCATTAATTATTACACTTTATTGCGTGGCGCACTTGATTGCACAAGATGGTTGTTGCAACAAGGTTTGCCTTTTTGTGGCCATGATGAATCGTTCAAATCAAGCAATAGGGGTAATTATTTGGAGCTTATGCAATTTCTTGCCGATCATAATGATAAAGTTAGGAAGGTTGTGTTTGAGAATGCTCCCAAGAATCTCAAGTATACTTCTTCTGATATTCAAAAAGATCTTGTCCGTGCTTGTGCCATTGAAACTATTGGTGCAATTACTAAAGATATGGAAGGTACATTTTTTTCTCTTTTGGTTGATGGATCACGTGATTCTTCAACTAAAGAGCAAATGGCGGTGGTATTGCGTTATGTGAACAAGGAAGGAGAAGTAATTGAAAGGTTTTTGGGTGTGCAACATGTCTCCTCTACAACTAGTAGCTCACTTGAAGAGGCCATTGAGAGATTATTTGCTTCAACAAATTTGAGTATGTCCAAGTTACGGGGACAATGCTATGATGGAGCTAGTAATATGAAAGGAGAACTAAATGGCCTTAAAGCAAAGATATTGAACAAGTATCCTCAAGCATTTTATGTTCATTATTTTGCACACCAACTTCAACTAGCTCTTGTAGCCGTTGCAAAGGGAATTGAGGGTGTCGCCATTTTCTTCAACAATGCTAGTATTTTGGTCAATACTATTGGATCATCGTGTAAGTGTCGTGACGCATTTAGAGAGAAACAACTAGAACAAATTAAGAAAGCTCTTGATATTGGTGATCTTGAAACGGGTAGAGGGTTAAATCAAGAGATTAGTCTCATGCGTCCTTGTGATACACGTTGGAACTCACATTATGGTACTATAGTTAGTATTATTGTCATGTTTGAAGCCGTGGTGGAGGTGCTTGAATGGATTAAGGATGATACCAAACAAGACAATTTTGGTGAAGTAAGTAAGTTATTCCATGACATACAAACTTTTGATTTTGTGTTTCACCTTTTTTTTATGAGACTCATATTGGGAATTATGAATGAGTTATCACAAGCATTACAAAAGAAAGATCAAGATATTGTGAATGTGATGGCGTTAGTGGAAGTATGCAAGCAAAGACTACAATCCTTGAGAGATGATGACTTTGGGGACTTGCTTGATGATGTACAAAAGTTTTGTCAAGAGCATGATATTGTCGTTCCTAACATGGAGGATTTGCGTTTTGTACCCAGAAAATCAAGGCGTAAAGCTCCAATACTCACAAACTTCCATTACTATCGTGTGGACCTCTATTTTCAAGTCCTTGATACGCAATTAAAGGAATTGAATGATCGCTTCAATGAGGTAAACACCGAATTGCTTCTTTGTATGGCATGTTTGAGTCCGGTGAATAATTTTGCATCTTTTGACAAAGCAAAAATTGTTCGTCTAGCCCAACTTTATCCTTAAGATTTTGATTGTATGGACCTCATGAATCTTCCAATTCAACTTGACAATTACATTCACGATATGAAGATGCATAGTGAGTTTTCATCATTGAGAGGAATTGGTGATCTTGCAAAGGAGTTGGTGAAGACCGGAAGGTTTGCAAGCTATATGTTAGTGTATAAGCTTCTTACATTGACTTTGGTGTTACCAGTTGCAACTGCTTCGGTGGAGAGAGCTTTTTCTGCTATGAAGATTGTGAAAACACTATTGCGTAACAAAATGGGAGATCAATGGTTGAGTGATAGCATGCTTGTTTACATTGAGAGAGATGTATTTGCTTTTATTGATAATGGGCCTATTATGCGGCGTTTTCATGATATGAAACCTCGTCGGCAACAATTGTAATTTATTTGTATTGATAAATTATGGAAGACATTACTATATAAAGGATTTGGTTCTTGCTATTCTTTTGAACCTTGCACTCTTTTAACTTCGCCCCTCCCCTTTTCAATTCCTAGCTTCGCTACTGCTTATAAGTCTTTGTAAAGTTTTTCTTTTTACCGATGTGAAAATCTCACCTTCATATTCTTATAAAATAAAATATAAAAAAAGGCTTCAAAACTTTACATTTTAACCAAAAATCATCTAATAACTTTATTTAATGATAAAGACAAAAGGGAAAAAAACATAAAATATAACACATGTGTGCCCAACGCGCGTTAAGTTTCATAAACAGTGTAGTACTGTTAAGTTTCATAACAGTGTAGTACCGTTAAGTTTCATAAATAGTGTAGTACCATTAAGTTTCATAAACAGTGTAGTACCGTTAACTTTCATAAACAGTGTAGTATCATTAAGTTGCATAAACAATGTAGTAAGTTTCATAAACAGTGTAGTAAATTTCATAAACAGTTTAGTACCGTTAAGTTTCATAAACAATGTAGTACCATTAAGTTTCATAAACAGTACGTGTGAGGAAGCACGGATCTCGCATGTCAATTTTTTTTTTTTTTTTTTTTTTGTAATATTAAAATTATGTCTTTTTCATTAAAATTTAAGTTCTTTTGTCCTTTTTATTAAAGTTTAAAGGTTTTTCATTAAAATTTAAGTCTTTTTCATTAAATAAAGTTATAGAATGATTTTTTTTTATTAAAATAAACTTAGTCTAAGTCATTTTTATGAAAGTTTAAGTCATTTTCATGAAAGTTCCGAAAAAAAAAAAGAGTAAGATGGTTGGGTGAGCCGTCCGGCTCCACAATTTAGCCCCTACAGCATGTGACTCAGTTGCGTGAGCGTTTCAATTTTTATTGATGTTGATATACTGGACCCTCTGAGATGAGATAGCAATTAATGGAACATTTAAGAAAAAAAAACCCCCAAAGTCTTTTCTAAACTTTATCGTGATAAATCATACAAGTATACAAGGTATAAAGATTAGCCAATTGCTCATCAGAAGCAACTATGACAGAAGCAAGAAAAACAATAAAGAAACGATAATAATACTAAAGTCACCGACTATTTATTTCAATGTTTAGTTATCAACTAATATAAAGAAATGGTCACATAGTACCACGATTTAGTAGTATTCTTCTTTATTTGTAAGTAAGAGATTTTAGGATCGACTCTGGTTAAAAAGAAATTTGAATCACATTATTCCTAATTCATTGTGAGGATTAGCCCAATCTCCCACCCCTTTAGTGTAGATAATATCGTTTGTTCTAAAAAAAAAACTAATATAGATAAATGATAAGGAGATCCTCTCAAAAGCAAGACTATCTGCCACCTCATATTTTTGCACAATGTTTTATTATGTTGGCACTTTAATCTAAGATTTCAATTCTTCCATGTTTCAGCAGTAGTTAGTATATTGTTCCATGGAGCTAAGGTCCAAAATAAGGAAGAAACAGGTGTTTCCACGACTTTATCGCCTAGTTAATTATGTTCCACTTAATCCATGTTTCATGGCCACATATCTTTCCGGGGATATTGATATTAAAATGTAAGATGACAGAGAATTCATGAAGATTCCTACTTTTAGAGAGTTCTCATAGCATTTCTCATATGAAACATGATGTGCTAATTTCTGTGAATAAATTAGTTAATACAATTACAATGGCAAATTCTTATAACGAACATTGATCCGTAACTAATGCTCATGTATATGTGAATTTATGGAAAGGAAAAAAAATGAAGAAACATGAAAGTTCGCATTGCTATTCAAAATGACCATGAAATTACAAATCCGAAATTCCTAACTTAGGGTTTTAATTAGTATTTATTATTTGGTTGAGAGTTAGGAACTTAAATCGGGTACAATCTTATTACGGACGAATTTTCTTTATAAAATAATTGTTAATTATAAGGTAATGCAAGATTTTTCTTGATAAAATAGGCAACACTTCTACTGTGCCACTGATAATTTTCCTATTGGTGAATTGATAAGCTTGTCATGGGATGTCACTGCGTAACTAGGAATGTAATATTTGATATATTTATTGCGAGATAAATTTTGTGACTGATGAGTTGGCCAACCTAAGCTTCCCTCATCCTTTGGGTCCGATCTACTTCTTCTTGTAGCAGCTATTATTATTGGATATTTCTAGAGTCTGCAACATAATTTTGTAATTTCTCATTTGTTGGGCTATTAGCCCCTTTGTTTAACCCAAAAAATAAAATAAATGATTATACTTTCTACATATCTTTTTCTTTTTGAAATTTTTTATTTAAAGCTGTCATTTAATTCCTTTTTTATTTATTCGACCCAAAAGAGATCTGCGTGAAGAGAAAAGGGCAACGTAAACCATTGCCTCAAAGATACACAAATTGCCAACTTTCCATCCTCTCTCTCTCACGTATATACAGACAATACTTATAAATATAGGAGCTATAAGAGATAAAGAGAAAATAGAGATAACAGTTTGTAGTCCCATTACCATTTCTTTTAAACACCGATCTCTCTCTCTCTAGAAAAAGGCTCATGGATGTCTGGGTTAATAGTAGTTTTTGTATGAGTAGTATAGCTGTTTTCCTCCTTCTTCTTGTTGTTTCTGATTACCAAGTAGTAGTATTATTAAATGGTGAAAGAATTGGTGAGCCATCGTCATCGTCGTCATTGTCATGTGATTTCTTCAAAGGGAGATGGATTTTGGACCAATCCTACCCGCTCTACAATCCTTCCTCATGCCCCTTCATTGAGCATGAGTTTACCTGCCAAAAGAATGGCCGTCCCGATCAGATTTACACCAAATACAGATGGCAACCACATGACTGTGATTTAGCAAGGTGCACACCAAGCTATCTCTCTCTCTCTCTGGCTTCTCTTCTTCTACTTATTATTATTAATGCCTTTCTTTTGTTGCGATTATTAGCTGCAAATATTATTGCTTATTATTTTCCTAGTTGTTGGCTTGGCTCATCCTATATATCTCCGACCTAAGTGTAGTCATGAGATCAGGACCAGCAGTTGTACTCTTTGCCACTGTAGCTATAGTATCTGGTGGACCAAAAACTGGGGGTAAATTTTTCATTAATTAATATACGATGCCATATATACGATGACGCTTACATGCATCGTTGTTGGATAGGCCATTTTACATGCATAAGGAAATTAGATGGGTCATGCTTTAATTTAGTATAGAAAAAGAAGCTTAGGTTCTTAGATTTTATACGTTTCATGTATTTGAAGTTGTAAGAGTTATGTTTTAATGTTGTTAGTAAGTGAGGGCTGTTGAGTTCTTGTAACAGTTGCTCCTAGTGTCTTTAAATAGTTGTATCATTGAGTGGAAGGTAGTTTTTTTTTTTTCATGAATCAAAAAATTGAAAGAAAAAAAAACCAAAAAGTTATCTCGACATTGCTAGAATTTAACAGATGTTTTAGTGTTTTATTTGCCTAGTTCCGAGGTTTCTTAGACTAAACAGGGTTTAGTAGTTTATAGTTCTTAGTAGTCTCCATCTTCTTTCCTCGTGTTTCCGATGCATCAGTACAAAGACTTCGGATTTTATAGGACTAAAACTAAAAACTATTTGAACATTATTGTAAATAATGCGGGTTACACAAGTTTACACTAATTTGTTTTTATGGATTTATATAACTATATGAATTTATAAAGATTAACTAATTTGTCATTCTTTTGTTTATTTTTGAGACATGAATTACACTATTTACATTTGAAATTCCACATTCCAAATCAATTCTAAGAAAATGACTTGTTTTGATAATATTTTTCGAAATATAAAAAGTAAATTTAGATGTTGACTGTGATCCTTTTTACATTTCAAACACATGAACAAATTTTCTGACCAAAAAGAAAAACACATGAATAAATTTTATATAATTCGTGGGGGGAGACATCCTGTGAACTGAGTAGATCAATGTTATGTTTAAAAACACAAAAATTCTTGCAGAGGGGCCCCTCTGAATATATAAAGCGACACTCTCCTAATGATTTTCCTAAGAAATATAATGTTTGGCCGCATGGAAAATGTCGGTGATGGCAGGCTTTCATAGGTGACAATTGCATCTTTGGTTTGTGTGAACTGTGATCGTCTTGATAATGCGATGGCACAGTGGTGACGGATTTGGATTCTTTCTAGTCCCACACTCGTGATATGGCCTCTACTCATGTGACAATTATTAATGAAATTAATCAAACTATTTTTTAAAGTCGTGTAATATAGCTCACAGGCTTCTGTGGTGCTATATTTGTCATGTGAGTTCTTCGTGTTTGACATAAAAGAAAATCATCATATGATCAGGTTCAGAAAAAACTTAGGAAAATGTGTTCGAAATTATTACAATAATTTAAGAGATGAGAGATCGAATTTTGAACTCAGAACGCATGGGTGGAACTCAACACACTATTCATTAAGATAAGACCACATATACTCAGAAAAACCTAGCCTGATTTTACCAAAGCTTATATTTTTTGCAATAACAATAATATATTATACAAAATAGCGGGATTTGGGTTGAGTCATAGCAGATAGAAATCCAAACTCTTAATGTTTTTTCTAAAATTTGGAAAGGATTAACATGCTTATATGGATTATGAATAATGATTATCATTTAACTTTCTCTCAAGTACACAAATACAAGTGGAATCGTGGATTGTCCACCATTGATGAATCCGGTGTAAATTTTCTTGCCATGTATAAGGAGATTGTGTACCTAAATTGTTAACCAAAGCAAGACATAAGTTCTAATTAATCATTTTAATCTTATAGTTTAGCAATATAACATGGCAAATTGTCTGATAAGAAAAACCTAAAATATTGACAACTTTTATTTTGTAGATTTAACGGGCTTGACTTCTTCAAAAGATTTAGAGGGAAAAGCATCATGTTCGTTGGAGATTCATTAAGCCGAAATCAATGGCAGTCCCTAACATGCATGCTTCACTCGGCTGTGCCAACTGCTAAGTATAATGTGACAAGAGTAGACGATGTATCTATCTTCGAATTTACGGTACGTTAAATTTGTACTTTGTTTTTGTTATTATTTCATTTTTGCTAGGTGAATAAATATTTTGCCAGATGGTATACATATTTTGTTGCAAGACTTTGAATCCAAACCATGAATTAGTAAGTTGTTTAAAAGTGTAGTCGAAATTGACAATTTAGCAACATAACATAAGAAGACAATGATAGAAAAACGTGTATGAGTAATGCTATTTGAGTCCCACATATAATTGGCATGTTCCAACTCTATTTAAAGAGTTCGGCAACAATGTAGTTTTGCATCTAAATAGCATAATTAAAATTGTACTAGCACTTTATATCTAATTACCAACTTAATTTGCATGTGGTTCAATAACTTAGGCTGTTGAGTTTTCACACATGCGTCTCGGGTTCGAAACTCCCTCCTTCCCACCCCCCCCCCAATCTTAAATTATTGTAATAGTTTCGAATCCTCCCCATCCTTTAAATAATAATGAACCTTTCAAAAAATTACCAACTTAATTCATCAAATGAAATCACATCAATTTGGTATAGGTGAATGCAATGCATCCATCATATACAATAGTTTAGACTTGGTTAAGGTCCATCCCTATTGGTCCATTTTCTTTTTCGAACTATTCGTCCATGACAAATTTCACCTTTCAATTCCCTGCTTGGACAATATTTGACATAAACCTTTGTCCCGGCTCTACCAAACAAGAAGCATGTGGTCCTCTCTCTGATTTTTATTTTTCTTGCGGTAAATGGCATGGTGAAAAATACAATCAAATTACTGCAGGATTATGAAGTTAGAGTGATGCTAGACCGCAATGTGTATCTAGTAGATACTGTAAAAGAAAAGATTGGGAGGGTCTTGAAGCTTGATTCAATAATGGGAGGCAAGTTATGGAAGGATATTGACATGCTCATCTTCAACACTTGGCATTGGTGGAATCGGAGAGGACCCACTCAACCGTAAATCCTACAACTATATTTACTTTAATATTTAATTTTCTTTTGATTTATTTATCTTTTTTATTTTTTTTTTAACAATCGATATTATCTACACTAAATGAAAGATTGTGAGTTTAACCTCACAGTGGGCTAGCAACAATATGGTTCAAATTCGCCTTTGACAAGAATCGAACTTAAAACCTCTCGTTTACAAGTGAAGAATAATACAACTAGACTTTAGTACTAAATGACTCTTTTGATTTAATTTTAACGGGGGTTAAAAGGCAAAAACCAAATTAATTATTATTAATCTTGCAGATGGGATTATGTTGAAGTAGGAGGCCAGATAAGCAAAGACATTGACCGCATGTTTGCTTTTGAGAAGGCACTTATTACTTGGGCTGGATGGGTTGATTCAAACATTGATCCTGCAAAGTCTAGGGTTTTCTTCCAGGGAATATCTCCTTCTCATTACAAGTACGTTCCTTATCTAATATAACTAAGGGACAAATCTGTAACACTATTTTTTTACATAATTTTTTGCACATATTTTTGTGGGGCTATTTCATAATATATTTTAACGATTCGAACCGTTTATCTTTTAGAATATCATTCATAGATCATCTTACAAAAAATTAGACAAATCCAAAATCATTCAGATATTCATTTGTAGTAAGAAAATGGACGAAACGGTTCTACAAAGAAACCCTAGATCCAATGGTCATATGATTTTAGATTTGGGTGATTTTTGGTAGACATGATCTATGAGGGAAGATCTAAAATATAGACAGTTAGAATCGTTAAAACACATTTGAAAGTGGGCCCCACTAAGACGTGTGTCAAAAGTTGTGTAAAAAAAATAGTGTCACGAATCCATCCCCTATAACTAATCTAAGATAATAATCGTTAAATTTTAATTAATTAAAACGGAATTATTATTAGCACTCTAAGAATTCTATCTTATACTCACAACACCCTTCATAGTGCAATTTCTCCGTTATATTTTCATTAAAGAAGAGTGTACGTAGAAGTTAGAACGACTTATTGAAGTGTAATTAAAAGTTCTGTGAATTAAAATTCAACGTTTTGGTGACATACACATTAGCTTTAATTTTTTTTATTAGATGTCGTGTGAGTGGATGTCAATCAAGAATATATACAAAAGTAAAATTTAATACATGGTATATCAACGACTAATAATCGTCCAAATATACGTGAAACAATTGTCATTATAATTTTTTATTAAGTTGTTGTGGAGAACTGTTTATGAAGTTTGTTCCAGTGACATCAAGCATAAGTCTCTAACTTTCTTTTCTTAATTTTGATTTTAGTGGCAGTGAATGGCAAGAACCAAAGGCAAGAAGTTGTGTAGGGCAAAAGGAGCCTTTGCTTGGGTCGACCTATCCAGGAGGTTTGCCACCAGCTTTGAGTGTGCTGAAGAATGTGTTGAGCACAATAAAAAAGCCAGTGACATTGCTAGATATAACAAATCTCTCACTCCTGCGTAAAGATGGACATCCTTCAATTTATGGGTTGGGAGGCCGCACCGGAATGGACTGTAGTCATTGGTGTCTTTGTGGAGTCCCAGATACTTGGAATGAGATTCTCTACAATTTTATTCTTTGAAACATTCATGATCGAAACTATCAAAACAATGGCGTCTTGTCCCATTGAAATAAAGACATGTAAATAAAATTTTACATGTTCTTATTTTTTTAGCATGAAATGAATTCACGTAACAATGTACCTTTCCCTTATCTAGATATAAAAGAAACGTTAATAGTTGACATTGAATTATGAACTGCTGAACAAGAAAGCATCAGAGGCTGCTACACATTAATTTGGAATTTGGTGAGATATAGACCCCCGTGGGCGGTGGGCCACTTTATTTAAATCCTCCATAGGGTTTCTTGTTCAAGTATCTAGCCGTTAGTTTAGCAAGAAACACTAGTTATTACAATCATATAGTTCAAACCAAAATAATTGCAATTACCATGGAACTGGAACTGAGCGCTTTGCTTGATCGGATATGGATGTTGGAACCTGTTTTACTTCCTTTTATGTTTACTTCTTGGAATGAGGATCCTCCTCGGATCCTCTAATCACGTCCTTTCATTGTACATCGTGTGACCAATTTTCTTCAGGTACTATTTATATTCAATTTCAAATAAAAAATTTTACAATGATTTTTTACTGCATGATGTACGATAAACGGATGTGATTGAAGGATCTCCGTCCTCATTCTACTTCTTGGCCCATTGCATCCTATTAGGACAATACCTTCTCTGATTTTCGCGGCGGAGGAAAGTTTTTATTTTCTATTAATGTGATATCATTTCACTGCATAATACGATATGAGAATCATTGACTCTCTTTATCATCATTTAAATATCATCTCTAGAAAAAATTGTTGAATTTGGGGGCAGCTTATTAATCCATATTGTGTCTTAACAAATCAATGATTACAGTAACAAAGTAGCATCATTATGATGAATTGTCAATTTCTTTGATTCATATGAATAATTAAACGGTCGAATTTTGATCTTAACATTTATACAGTGAAATGATGTCACCTTCTTATCGTTATTTTTTGTCGCTCATCCCAATTCCAAATAAAAGAAAATTTAAAAACAAAATAACTCTGCAAAAGATTTGTAATTTAAGTGGTTAAGACATTTACTTTCACACTCAAGATTCTAAATTTGAATCCCCCTCTATCAATATTGCTTGTATTGAAAATAAAAAATAAAAGCTCTAATTAGCTATGAGTCTAGTTCCCGATGTGAAACCAACTAAAAGCCAGATCATGGCCAGTACAACAACGTATCATGACGACTTCATTATTCAGAATCCAGAACGAGACATTCCATACTTCAACCAAGAAAGTCAGAAAAGGCATTCTTAATTTCTTTTTAACCAAACTAAGGACTCTGGAACATGTTATCAATACTTTTTTAACGTCAACAAAACGTACTGACATGTTGTACATTCTTTTTTGACAATATCGATACACATCTGTCATGCTCAGAGTTTTTCTGCTGAAACGTGTTGTGACATTGATTGCAAATTTTTGTTCAATTACATAAGAGCAAATGAAACCTATGAAAGCTTCCGGCCAGATTCCAATACCAGACTGGAAGCAAACAACCAAGACTGATGTTGAAAAGTCTTTTCAACCGAGGAAGTTCAGATTCAAGCTCTAGTGATGCAGCGTAAATTTGACGTATGCCCGCACCATTTTGGAACACTCTGCTCTTTGCTCTAGTACCACTTTCAAGTACGCTGTCGGCTGCAGCCCTTCAATGTGTTCAATCGTTTTTATGTTCAGAACTTGGGTTCCTGATTGTAAACCGGCAATGAGAGGAGTGGTTTTGAGAAATGTTTCAGTGAAGTGAATTGGCCCGCGCGGATAGCTTGAGCTAGCAGTGACACTGCCGTCTGCTGACAAGAACTCGACCATTACCTTGGGGCACAAGAAACTGTAAAATAAGTCACAAAAATGATATTTCAATTAGGTATGTAGAATTTACTTAGCTGATAAAGTTACCGGTGGCAGATTTGATTTGTCATAGAGTAAAATAACCAGTTTTTTGTTCCAGCCCACGACGCAGTTCAGACACAAGAATTTTAGAAAACAACATACAATGAGGCATATGAAAACTTTATATGCAGAGATTATCCTTACCTTCATCTTCGTTTTTAGCCCCTAAGTAACCAGCCATTCGGAGGACTACCAAAACCAATGCGACAGACATAAATGCTGCTACTACAATACCGGCAATAGCACCGGCAGATAGCCCCCAGTATCAACCTTAAAATCTGACAAGTGAAAGTTCTCAGGAATTTAAGATGCGTGCAAGTAGAAAGAAAATCAGAAATCCAACAAGGGGGGCTAAAATTACTTGGTGTCACAGTAAGTGCAGATATAAGAGGTCCATAGACACCTCGGTTAGGAATGGAAGTATAATTGGATCACTAGTGTGCTACATGAACGGTAACATTGTCGAACTCTATGACAATGTGTGTTATAAGGTCATCTCTAACTGAAAGGGCTAAATATAGCCCTATCTAGAACTATAGCCCTGCAAAAAATTGTTTTTAAATAAACAATGTCAGACTACATTTATATAATATCTCCAACCGGGGTCTAAACATAACCCCTCAATAATTTATTATTTTTAAGTTTGTTTTTAACTTATTGGGTAATTGAATTAAACTATCATATTAAAATAACCCGCCGTTTTTAATTTTTTATCCAGACATATTTTGAATGACACTTGTCGCTAAATGAATAAGTCTCTAAATTTCTTATCTTAATATAATCTCAATAATTTTTTGGATTGGATTTCGAGTGACACGTATTGCTAAATGAGTAACTCTCCACAATTTAACTGAAATACAACTTAATTGAAATACGAGAACTTAAATATTAAAACTAGAACAACTTAAATATTAAAGACTACAAAATATTATAGGCAAAAAAATTAGAATTCAATTTTTTTGTTTTTTTTTTATTTCGTCTGAGAAAAAAAATAAATAAAAAATCCAACAGTTAGATGACGTCAACTAATTGTTGCCGCTGATGTCAACACGTTGGAGGGCCACAGATGGGCCTCAACAAACGGCTTAGTGGATGGTTGGAAATAGCCAACCCGATAGCCTGTTGGAGGGTCCAAATGATTCCCTCACCATATCGTTGCCCTCCTTACTGGATTGAAGCCAATGCGGAGCAACATGGACGAAAGCTTGTCTATATCTACCGGTAAAGTAATACCTGCATGTCCAAAGTCCGCGGGAATAACATCATCGATGATACTCTTCCAGTAACAGTGAGGAGTTCATACTGTAGGAATAATCTAAAATATATTGATTGAGAATTTGAGATGAAGGTTTTGTGCATAGACATAAATATATAGATTACTGATTGAGCATCCCACATTTTGTTAATTTCAGCTTCTGGTCAATCTAAAACATGGCGAAGGAGGTCTCTCTAATTTACGTACAGATGTGGGGATCTGGTTGACATCCTAAAATTTACAATTAAGCTTGACAAGGAACTGCAGGCGATTACCGAGTCTCATGTGATGTATTGACATGAAAAATATAGGTAAGGTTCACTGCCCAGACTGTTAATGTGTCTGAGTTCAAGAGATTTGAACTGAAGAAAGAAAGCTGAACTAAGAGCAAAAACAAACCGAAGAACACAATGGAAGATGAATAGTTTTCTTCTTCTCTCTATCAAATTGCAGAGGAATATTTTCTGTGTTAATGAAAGAGCACGAAGCACATGCTTTTACATAACTGATGGCCTAGCACTTGGGACCACACATACACTACATTTCATCCTAGACACACATCTTTCTAATCTCATGGATCACTTAACACATGGCACTCATGGCTTTTTTACAAAACTAGACATTTACACTTTGCCTCATTCTACACAAGTGGATACACCAATTTAAACAAACTTATTCTAAAAACTTTTCAGCTCAAATACTTATAGTTCAACACTCCCCTTTAAGTTTTGAGCTGATTTCACACCAAGCATATCTCGAAGATAGTTGAATCGATCCTTAGACAGAGCCTTAGTAAATATGTCTGCCACCTGCTCATTTGTTGGACAGTACACCAAATCGATTATCCCTTCCTGGAGTGCATTCTTGATAAAATGATACCTTCTGTCAATGTGCTTGGTTTTCTGATGGAAAACAGGATTTTTAGTAATTGCAATTGCTGCTGTATTATCACAGTGTACTGGAGTCGCTTCAGTTTGCATCTCACCAAAATCTTCAAGAACAAATCTAAGCCAAATGGCTTGAGCAGTTGCTTCAGAGGCACTGATGTACTCTGCTTCTGCTGTAGAGAGTGCTACACAATTCTGCTTCACTGAGGCCCACGAGAACACTCCACTACCAAAGGAAAATGCATAACTGGAAGTACTTTTGCTGTCTCTAAGCACTCTTTTGGCAGTCCCATAGTGTTTGTTTGTGGGAGAATGCATGAACCTGGAAAGTAGACTTGCTGCATACATTATGTCTGGTCTTGTAGCTGTAAGATACAGTAAACTGCCCACAATTTTTCTATACTGTTCTTCATTTGCTGGACCACTTCCATCATCCTTACTAAGTTTTTCAGCTGGAATCAATGGTGTAGACACAGACTTGCATTCATTCAACCCAAATTTATTCAACAAGGAAGAGGCATACTTCTTTTGGTGAATAAATATGCTGAAATTGGTTTTGAATGACTCCCATTCCAAGAAAATGGTGAAGTAAACCCAAATCAGTCATCTCATATTTCATCATCATGTCCTCTTTGAATTCTTCCAACATTTCTTTGCTACTACCTGTGTAGACAATATCATCTACATAGATAGACACAATTATAATATCCTTTTCTCCCCTTGACTTGATGTACAATGTTGGTTCACTGAGACTCTTTTGGAAACCACACTGGGAGAAGTAAGCATCAATTTCTCCATACCAGGCTCTAGGTGCCTGTTTCAGTCCATAAAGAGCTTTATGAAGCCTATACACTTTATCTTCTTTGCCTTGCACTGTGAATCCCTCTGGTTGGTCTACATATACTTCTTCCTGCAGTACTCCATTTAGGAAGGCAGATTTAACATCAAGTTGATACAACCTCCAGCTCTTTTGAGCAGCTAATGCAATGAGAGTTCTGATAGTGTCCAGTCTAGCCACTGGAGCATAAGTTTCATTATAATCGAAACCAGGTTTCTGAGCATAACCTTTGGCAACCAACCTTGCCTTGTTCTTCAATACTGTGCCATCCATATTCAATTTGGTTTTATAGACCCATTTAACCCCAATGACAGGCTGCATTGTTGGTCTATCTACTAATTCCCATGTACCATTCTTTTCAATCATGGTCAACTCATCCTGCATTGCTCTTAACCATGATTCATCTTGAGCTGCTTCTTCATATCTTTCAGGTTCCATAACACACAGATTGCATTGAGCAAAAATATCATCAAGATTTCTCCATTTCAGAGGTGTGTGATCATAATCCTCTGAAAGCTTTGCAGATTCAGGAGTACAACTTTCTTGTTCTTGTATATGAAAAGGAGAACTAGGACTAAGAGAACTTCCTTCAATCACACTCATCTCATATGGATTCATACCAACTACATTTTCAGGTTGATCCTGAATGTAGGTTGCAGCAGCTGAACTTTGTGGATTTTCTTTCCAATTCCAGGTCATAGATTCATCAAAGACTACATCTCTTGACAAGATTAACTTGTTAGTACATGGATCAAATATTTTGTATCCCTTCTCACATGTAGCATAACCCACAAATACACCTTTAATACTCTTAGCATCTAGCTTCTGTCTTGTCTCAGTAGGTACATGTACATAGCACAGGGAACCAAAGATCTTGAGATGTGCTATACCTGGTTTTCTGCCACTATAAGCTTCAAAAGGAGTCATATTTCCAAGTGCCATTGTAGGACACCTATTTAGAATATATACAGCTGTGTGTACTGCTTCAGCCCAAAGAACATATGGCATACCTCTATCATGGAGCATAGTTTTTGCCATTTCAACCACAGTTCGATTTTTTCTTTCCACTACTCCATTCTGTTGAGGAGTATAAGCCATGGTGAGTTGTCTTTGAATGCCTTCAGTTTCACAGAACTTAGTGAACTCAGAAGATAAGAATTCTCCACCTCTGTCACTCCTTAGACTTTTAACTTTGAAACCACTCTGCAGTTCCACCATTGACTTGAACCTTTTAAAATAATTGAATGCATCAGATTTGTATCTGAGAAAATACACCCAAATCATTCTTGTATAATCATCGATGAGTAACATGAAGTATCTGTTTCCAGCCAAGGATGCATTCTGCATAGGACCACACAAATCAACATGAATAAGTTCCAGGGGACAGTTTGCTCTCCAGGATTGATTCTTTGGAAACCAGTCTCTATGTTGCTTTCCAAATTGACATCCTTGACATACATCTTTGATTTCTTCTAGGTATGGAAGACCATGCACCATATTTTTCTCACTGAGTTGCTTCAACCCCCTGAAGTTCAAATGACCTAGTCTTCTGTGCCAAGTCCGAGTAGAGTGATCTATGCTTGCTTTCATAACCAACCGGTTGTCTTGCAACAGAGAAAGAGGATAGCAACGATTTTCCTTCTTCTTGACCTTGATGACAAGATTGTCAAGTGAAGGTCCATCAAACACACTACACAAACCTCCTCCAAACACTAGATAATATCCATGCTCATCCATTTGACCTACACTCAACAAATTTTCCTTCAATCCTGGCAAGTGCATGACCTCTCTAATGTACTTCTTCCCCTTATTAGTATCAATTTCCAATGAGCCCATTCCAGCAACATTTACTAACACTCCAGTAGGCATCTGCACCTTTCCAGCAACATTTGTTCTTATATCAACAAGGAGATCAGCATTCCCTGTCATGTGGTTACTACAACCACTGTCAATGTACCAATTTCCATTGACATTTTTCTCTGAAATTGCACTATTAGCATAGAACAGATTCCCTGTCACTTCCACCTGATTTGCAGAATTTGCCTTTTGCATAATCTTCCCTATAGTGCATTCTCTAGCCCAATGACCAAACTTATCACAGTTATAACATTTGGGCTTCCCTTTATATCTACATTCACCAAAATGGAACTTAGAACACACTCTACACTGTGGTTTGGTACCCTCTTGACTCATAACCTGTGAGGAAGCATTATTCTGTGCAACATTTGTGAATGATTTTTGCTGAAACTTTGGTTTTGAATCCCACTTCTTACCCTTTTGATTCCAATTTCTCTGTGATTTAAAATTACTAGACTGAGCATAACTTCGATTCTGCCCTTTTGAATTAACAGTAAGAGAAGAAAATGCTCTCTCAGTTGCATCTGAGGAATGCAAATCAAACCTCTGCTCTTGACTCTTCAATATAGCTAGGACCTCTTGTAGTTCAACAGATTCTAAACATTTGGTGTTTTCTATCACTAAGCATATAGGATCATATATCTTAGTGAGACTGATTAACACCTTCTGAACTAATCTCTCATTTGACAAAGTTTCACCAAACGTCTTCATTTGATTAATCAGATCATTCAAACGAGTAAGATACCCAGTCAAGGATTCATCATCACGCATTCTAGTGTATTCAAATTCTCGTCTGAGATTTTGGAGTTTCACAGATCTTACCTGATCCCCACCGTGATATTCGCCATATAACAAATCCCATGCCAATTTTGCTGAGTCTGCGTTTGCGATTCGAGGGAAGATCTGATCGGAGACTGCGCTTTGAATGATTCCGAGAGCTTTTGCATCTTTCATGAAGATTGCAGCCATTCTCTCATCATCGTCAGCATCAACATCTGTATCTTCATCAGTCTTAGCTTTCTTCTTCTTCGAATCGAGAACCGAAATCCCTTTTTCCACCAGATTCCATAGTCCATGTGACTTGAAAATGGTAACCATTTTGATTCTCCAGAACTCGTAGTTCTCACCGGAGAAGATCGGGGTCCTCACTTCAGCACCTCCAGATCCAGCCATTTTTCAAATCTTTCGTGAGCTTCGATTGAGCTCAGTAACCTCACAGATTTACGCCCGGATTTTTAAACGACGCAACCTGGCTCTGAGGCCATGTTAATGTGTCTGAGTTCAAGAGATTTGAACTGAAGAAAGAAAGCTGAACTAAGAGCAAAAACAAACCGAAGAACACAATGGAAGATGAATAGTTTTCTTCTTCTCTCTATCGAATTGCAGAGGAATATTTTCTGTGTTAATGAAAGAGCACAAAGCACATGCTTTTACATAACTGATGGCCTAGCACTTGGGACCACACATACACTACATTTCATCCTAGACACACATCTTTCTAATCTCATGGATCACTTAACACATGGCACTCATGGCCTTTTTACAAAACTAGACATTTACACTTTGCCTCATTCTGCACAAGTGGATACACCAATTTAAACAAACTTATTCTAAAAACTTTTCAGCTCAAATACTTATAGTTCAACACAGACCAGCTCTAGGTGTGGCTGACATCATTTTAACAGCACCGGATTGGCCAATAGCTGATCCATCAACCTTGCATCACAAGATTACACCATAAGTCGGTACATTGCTGCGTACTGTTAGTGAAATAGATAAGGAGAAATGCAGGAAATGTAGCAGAAACATACCATCGGAAAATTAACTACTCAGCAAGAATTAGTCTGGCTGAAGGGATTGGTCTAGCAGAATGGCTTGACAATGAATTGTCATCTGATGGAAAAGAGTTATCAATAATTATTGCAATAAGATTACTGCTAAGTATAGGTCATAACGAAAGACAAACGTAAAACTCAAACTGTAATTCACATACCTTTTAATTCCACCCGCAACCAATCTTGTGTGCATACCAAAGCCTCTCGAATGTCAGGATTCAGTGAGCTTCGACATTCATCAAGCAGTCTACTGCCAGCGTTGAATGCTGATTCTGGTGCAACAGTTGACATAGGAGTTCCGAGAACATCACGTGCCATCATCGACAAAATAGGGTACCTTGGTGTGTGGACCTTCCACCAATTTAATATCTTAAAATCACAATTGCGTGGAAAAACTGGTTCCTCTAGATACTTGTCCAAGTCTGATATCATGTTTTGGCTCTGAGAGGTCTCGTGGAAATTTGTCAAATCCCTTCAATCGATCCCTACAATCAGTGCTGGTACTCGGTAAGCTGCTGCCAGGCAAAGCTGAACCTTGATCAACCATTGTTGAGCAAATTGAATAAGCATCAAAAAGTTCCTTGAGGCCATCGGAAACTTCCTTAATCCTATCCAGAGCAGTACTACCGTATATTTGGGAGTAGTAATACTCCACCAACTTCATTTTGAATCGGGGATCCAAGATCGCTGCCACTGCCAAAGCCAAACTGCACTTGCTCCAGTACTTATCAAACTTAGCTTTCATCTTTAATGCTATAGAACTAAGAAATTCGTCTGGGCTCTTGCACCATTCAATTAATTGGATGTGAACATCACAAATCTCAGGAAAATATATACTTGCAGTTGGACATTTGTTGCCACAAAAGACATTGGTGATTTCAACAAGAAGTTTCAAATAAACTGTAACAAACCTTGTCCATTCCCATTCTGTGTCTGTTAAAGCTGATGTATACAAAGGGTCATGCTCTTGCAGGAAAGAAAATGCACCCCTGTATTCCAAGGCTGTTTCAAGCATAAGATACGTTGACTTCCATCGAACTGGGAAATCAAGAACTAATCTCCTCTGACTATTGATTCCAACTTGCTGAACAATTTCATTGAACTTCCCTTGTGTCACTTGTGAACTTCTTACATGTTTGAAACTTCCTCGAATATTTTGTATCACCTCCCTCATTGCTTCTAAAACATCCTGCACAACTGAATTTAGAAGATGTGCAGCAGAGCGAATATCAAATAACTGACCATGGACCAAGAGAGGCCTGTTTTGGGAGATCCGGTCTTTGATTCTTAGAACAATGTCATCATCGGTGGAACAATCATCAAATGTCAAGGCAAACAACTTACTGTCAATGTCCCAGTCCATCAGACATTTGATAACTACTACTGAAAGCAAGTCCTCCGTATGAGTAGATTCAAGTGTGACAAAATTCAGAATTTTCTTTTGTAGTTTCCAGTCCTCATCAATATAGTGTGCCGTCAAACACAGGTACTCAACGTTTTCTGGAGAAGACCACATTTCAACAGAAAGGTTAATTCTGCTGTGCAAACTGTTAAGCATCTCATACACTTGATGTTTTTCCTTCCTATAAATTTCCATACAAAACTGTTCAACATCATTATTTGGCACAACCTCAAATGATGGCTGAAGGTTCTTCACAAAAACTTTGAATCCAACATCATCAACCATGGTGAACGGGTAACCATGCAATATAATCATACGAGCAAGATCATAACGACTACGGTCGTGATCAAACTTTCCGCTTGCAATGGTAACTAGTTCATCCTTTTTCGGATCCTGATCGAACTTTATAATTCCTGGCTGAATATAATCATCTTTTCTCTGTGCTTCATCACCATTAATACTATCTATGCCAACGATATTATCTTTTTTCCTTCTCTTCGCTGAAAGTAGTTGTGATACATCAAAGTTCGATCGTTTCAGACATCGCATTAAATGGTTTCTCAGATGGGTGGTCCCACTATTACTTGATCCACTGAGCTTCTTGTGACAATGTACACAAACAGCATAACATATTTCAGCCTTTCTAACCCTTTCAAAATGATTCCAGACAATAGATGTCAACCTCTTTGGTTTCTTAGCAGACTCAACTGGTATTATTTCCATCACATAGGCATGAAATCAACCAAACTCTGCAAAACATAAGAGATATAACAACTAAATCAGATACAACTACACAATGAATTTACGGAACCTCACACATCAATAAAAAAGTTGATAAAGCCGAAAGTTGATAAAGCCGCAAAAAACTAAAAAAAATACTCCAAATGCTAGCAGATTATTAACATCCTATTCCATTCCATGGTGCACAACGCCAATAAAAGGTGAACGACAGTATATGTGAGTGTGCATATACTTGTATAATTACATGTATACGCGAAAGCTCTCATGCTAATAGAGATTTTACAACTATCCACACTGATAAAATTTTGGTGCAAGTAAATTCCTTGGGATACACCCTTTACAAGAAGTCAAATATTTTCAGACCAAAACCTTGCAATACTTACATCATCCAATGAACACCGAACTATAAATAAACAATGCACAGACACGCACCAGCATATACGCACCGTATCACTACATGAAGAAAACACCACATTATCATTTGTTTAAAGTCACAAAGAAAGTTATCAGTCAGAAGATACAAATGACAAGATTCAAAACGTATGTGTACTTTCATTTCACTAATTGGATCCTGAAACACTGATTTTTTTTTTCCTACCTTTTTAGTGAACAAGACAACGACTGAATTAATTTTTCCCTACAGAGATCTCCTGAGGCAAACCTGGAAGCAAACAAGAACACAGCGCACACAATGGCCAAAAATTCAACCTTAAAACAAGTGAATAATGCAGCTAAAGTAAATTATGTCAACCAAACTCATGAAGCCTCGCAACTTGAAGATCAATTCCAAAATTAAATCTTCAAACATAATTATCCATTGAATAGCACTGCATACAAGATTTAAATACGACTCAACATGAGTTTAGGGAATTTACGATCATAAGGTAACAGCTGAAAGATCCAGCGTTGAACCTCTCACTAAGCCTGTTACGCATATCAAGTGGGCTGCAGGTCACTAAGTCTTAATATAGACAGCAAAAACAGCAAAGTTTAGAACATGTGACAACAATTCAGATCAACAAAAACTGTCCGAATGCAAACTGTGTATCTCAAACTCAAGAAAAATGTGCATGAAGCCACCGAGATAACCCGAAAAATAAACGAAGAACATGCCATGACAACTTGACAAGTCAACAGGGTAAAGGGTGAATTTTTCCAACCCAAAAATAAATAAAAAATAAAAAATTTATATCAAATGGGTCCGGGAGTCAACATTTGGAGTCATTTGTTAAGGTACCATTGACCATATCACAATTTATTTTTGTTGGAACCCATATCACAATTGAAGTGATAAAACTAGTGTCAAATCCTGCTCCTCTTGATCATACAAAATCATGACATATACACAACCACATGACTTGAATTTCAACAAAACCCAAAAACCAACTTAAACAAAAATTAATTTCAAATAAAATTACATCCAAAATACAAAATTTTAACTCTAAATTTCAACATTTCATCTTCAAATCCCTAAGCAACAGAACAACCATATGCATTTAAGATCCGGGTCACACCAAAACCACCAAATAAACATTTAAAATTTCCAACCTAACAGAGTGAGGGGAATAAAAAAGTACAAAATTTGACAAAATTCGAAATGGGTCTTACCGCAATTGTTGAAATGACCTTGTATAATCTCAGGGAATCCGATCGGTGGTCCGGCGAATCGGGGCTGGATTGCGGGTGACCCTGAAGAGAGAGAGAGAGAGAGAGAGAGAGAGAGAGAGAGAGAGAGAGTCTTAACCCGGATGCGGGTTGTGAGATAAAATGGGTTGGATCCGATAGAGTAATATCCACTATATCGGGTTTATGGGTCAACGGATTAAGGGTATTCTTTTAGTCGAACCGATACCAATTGACGAAAGAAGGGGCGGACCATATTCATTTGAGCTGACCCAGTTTGGGTCCGTTTGGTTTCAGGTTAGGCAGGGTTAGGTGTGGGCTTGAATCATTTGGCAATGACACAATATTACCACGTGAATAAAAGTTTACACATATTTATACCATTAACCATTAACATAGGATACTAAGATAACAACAGACTCATATCATATAAATATTCCCGGCCAAATAAAGTATAATTTAGTCTGATGTTTAATTTCAAAAACAAGAAAAACTTGTGTGTATTTATTGCGCGCAATATTTGTTTTATGTTTACTTAGTGATCAACATACTATTTTATATGAACGACACATGTTTCCAATGACCGTATAAATTCTTTTTTCTAAAATGTTTCATAAGGTAATTAGGTTTGGAGAATTTTCTGTACCAACCCTCACTTGTTGATAAGCATCCCGTAAAATTAAGAGTGATACAATTGCATACTATTGCATTTCGTATTCTATTTTTCACTCACGTTAAAGAATTTGACTTTTATTTAATACACTGGTCATTTAACAGTCGAATAAGAGATTGTTAATGTCGAACTTAGTGGTCCACCATGCACATCTTGAGCCTTTACTCTGGTTGATTATTCAAAGAGTCGAAACCATTTCTAGAACGGCCATTCATTCTTTCATTTTCCGGCTTTGAATCATGCTACAAGTCACCATGACATGTGCATATGCATGGTTTTTTTTCCCTTTCTTTTGCTGAACCACGTATATATTCCGTTCGACTTCATTACCCTTAGCACTTAAGATTAATTACCCGTAAAGATACATGTTGACTCAATTTTCAGAGGGGCGTTGAGGGGGTGCGAAAGGTGCAATTGCACAGGACCCCAAATTTGAAGGGGTCTCCAAAAATTTTGTCACCTAATATTTATATTTAAAATTACTTTTTTTATGGAATAATGTTCTATATTCAAAAATTGATTTTGTTAGCACTTTAGAACCTCATCTTACACTCTTTATAAGCGTGTCTTTCTAAATATAAAAATTTAGAGTACAATAAGATATTTTGAGTACCAATAATACACCATAAAAGATAGTAATTTTTTTTCAATATTATTATATAATAATATTACATATTCAAGTGAAACTTTAAAGTTAGAGTTTTTGAAGTTTGTTTTCTTGTTTGGTTGTTTAAATTCAACTGCTTTTGATTATTTAGGGAACATTATGTTTGTAGCTCCTTTTAGTTATTATTAATGACATTTTAAACTTGCAATTAGTGAGTGTTAAACTTTGTTTTGATTTAAGTGATTGTTTTCTAAAATCAATACATTGTTCTACATTTTTTAAGACTATCTTAAGGAGGGGCGTTTTTATAAATTTCGTACAGGGCCCCCAAAATCTCAGAGACGGCCCTGACTCAATTCATGAGAAAAGGTTTCCTCCTCTTAACAGTTTTTCTTACACTACCATCCTTTTGTCTCTTTCTCTCTCCATATGTGCATACATACATACGTACACATAATATATACACACACACACATATATGTATATACATATGCATATGGGGTTCTGTTTGGTTTTTGATAAAATGTAGCAAAGGAAAGTACTTCTTCAATTTTGTTTCTGAAATTTTTGAGTTAGAAATGTGGACCCAGAAAGCAAAGGCAGAAAAATGATTTGAATTTTAATGGTGGGTGTGCTCAAGACTTGTGCTGTATATGCTAAATTCTAACTAAGTAATCTCGGTTTTCGTAAGCTTGTTTGGTATAACTTCAACTTATTTAATCTTCAATGTGAAAATTTGTGACTAATGGTTAGTTTTTTAAAGATTACTTGGTAGATTTTGTATGTAAGAAACTTTTACTGATTTCTTCAAACATGGTTATTGTCATTGATTATATGTTTTCAGCCTGTTTATGAATATTATAACATACATTTTTATTATTAACTGTTGTTTAAATACCTCTCCTAGAAGTTATTGATGTTGATATGTGCTTTTCTTTGAGGGCAATAACAATATGTGCTTAAATATTTCTAGATCACTGTCTAGTCCTGACTTGAGATCATTGAAAATATATGATGGATATAAGTCTCATGTTGGCTTGGTAAATATTGAGAGCATGGATATACCATGTGGTACGTCCCCACACGATTGACTTAGTTTATGTTCATTGGGTGTCATGATTATAAAAGTGTTTAGATTATTGTGCCATCCATTTGGATATAGGTAACATGTTTGAACCAATGGGGAATATTCCTTGTGCTGAGATTTCTTTTCAGATCTTGTTTAAAATTGTATTTGCGTGCGTCTGTATGCTTTCTTCCATGTGCCCATGTACATTGAAGTTGATTAGTCTTTGTCTCAGTTTATTCTGCTAGTTTATCCCTGTATATATGGAATTGTCTGGTTCCTTCACCATTTTGTCTAGACTTGGGCTTGGTAATTGTTTTGGAGGTGCTCCATGCGTGTCTGGAAGATTAAAATACATCAAATCCGAAATACCTGGTATTTGTTTTAACATCAGTCTCGGTTGTCCTAATAGTACACAATGGACCAAGAACTAACACAAATGGAAGGAAAACAGGTTTCAATATCCATAACCTATTAAGCAAAGTTCTTAGTGCCAGCAAAATGGTAATTGTAGCTATTTTGGTTTGAATTATAAAAGTTGTCTGGTGGAACGCATCGGTATATAAGTTGGTCATTATTGTCCAAGCAGGGAATTAAGAGGTGAGAAATTTGTTTGAGTTGCGAATAAACGTGGACCATCGCATCCATGAAGGGCCACCACGACCGACTTTTTCATGCAGTCAAAACACTTTCTTGAAAAGCTTAAAACTTTAAGCTGTAATTATTATGCTAAAATAAGCATTAGGAAAAAAATGTGTACTCTTAGAATTAATTGATTCTAGTTTAAATTATTATGGACCCACTAAAATGTTATATTTTAGATTTTTTTTTTTTTTTTTTTTTTACTTATAGTTTAACGATTAAGATCAAATGAAATCAAATCTAATAGTTTAGACTCGCAATTATGTTGTTTTAATGTAAAATTTGAACTGAACTGATTGGATTGATTTGGTTTTGGACGATTTAATGGTTAGGGCAGTTTTAAAGTGCACCCTTTATTCTAATGATTTTGTATCTGATGAATTTCCATTCTAATGAACTCCATATGATGAATGTAACATTAGCAATTCTGTCTTGGTGCCCGTTCGAATAAACACTAATCGTTGCATCTATTTTTCCTTTTCTTGAGGAAGACCGACACGAAAGGCGAAGAGAAAATAGAACTAATGTTTAACACTCTGTATTATATAGAGATATACATTTGTCTGAATAAAACATTTTTGCATATAGAAACTGTGTATGATACTTTTATCTATTGTTTGGATTAAAACTTGAACTTTGGGCTCACGAAGAAGCTAGCCCAAAAGGAGGCCTGATGGCCGAAGCTCAGCCAAAGCACAAAAAGCATAAATGACCCTTTCCGACTTGGTGCAGCTCATTAGGGCCACTTGCTCACCTACTTAGAGGCCAAGTGGTATAGACCAGCCAGCTAATCAGCCCAAAAAGTACTTTACAATGGTAGAACAAGTAAATAGCGGATGAGTCGTTACCCTTCAAGCTGCATTCGGGCAAGGTTACTGCTACAGGAGGTCAAGTCAAAGTGTCTATAAAAGAAGAAAGAGAAATCAGAGATAAGGACACTCAAACAAACAAACAAAAGCACAAACTCTACTCAAACCAGATTTACCTTCAAACGAAGCTGTAGTCAGCATCAAGCCTTCATCCCTTTCGGGATAAACCCTCACCAAAAGCCTTTGTAATAGCTCTGCTACCTTGTCAACAACCTGTTGTAGTATCGATTCCTCTCTGAAAAATCATCTCTCTATCCCTCTTTCTAGCTCTCAAACCCCTTGAGAAACCACAAAGATAGGAAGTTGCTAGACGATCAGCCTTGCCCGACCTTCTTTGTTTTTGTCTTTTCATTCATTAATCTAGCAATATGTTGTATAATTCCAGTTATATCCAAGTTATTTCTGTAAGATGATGATTACAAGACTTCTCAGCTCTTGAATCTGATTTGAATATGTCTTCATAGTTTAAATCAGATCTAAGTTCTAAGCCCTCAGGCATATAAGATTGATCATTCAAAAGTCCTTGGCCTCAAGGCATAAAAAAGAGCCTTATGTGGACTTAACCCATCCACGATAGTCTTTGATAGCAAGAAGTCTGAAGTTACTTGGGGCGTAAGTAATCGACTTATTCCTTAGTTTTATCTCTGTTATATTATGATTATCATAGAACATTTGAGTATAGAATTAATTCTGATAGGAAGCCTCAAAGCCTATATCTAAGGCCCTATAAAGGCACCTATTTGGATTCATTCTGCTCTTTAGGCTTGATCATCAGAAGTATAACAGTCGTAATACTTTACGCGACAATGAAACAAACAGTATATGTTCGAGTACTGGGTTAGTTATTGACGGGAAGGCTCAAGGCCTACACCTAAGGCCCCACAAAGGCACCTGTCCTGACTAGCACGGCCTCTCGGGTATATATACAACTAAAACTTGACATCCGTTTTACATCTGCCATACTGAAGATGGCAGTGGCATGCCTGAGCACTTAAAAGTTAATCTTGATTGTGAGCCTCAAGGCCTACACCTAAGGCCCCACAAATGCACCTTTCAAAGTTAACTTTGTCCTTCTCTTTCAGCTTTGCCCGACAAGCCTTGCCCGATAAGCCCGCCAGTGAAGCAGAAGCCCGACAGAAAGCATCAACCAGCGCCAACCTCTCGGGGAGTTGTGTGCTCGTCGGCTAGGAAACATCCCTAGCAGAAATTCTTGCCACGAACATCTATCACCATTGTTTGTTGCTGGTACTTTTCCTGGCTTCCTTGAGGATGAGTTCCGAGAGCCTCTCATACATTCCGATAGCAGATTCGAGCATATCAATCGCTCTGCTTCTGTCCTTTGCTGCCACCTTCAACACATCGTCATTTTTAACATCATCTTTATTGGCATACTCATCAGTTCTTTTCCTGAGAACCCAAAGTCGCAACTCCCATTTCGATAACA